AATTACATTACACGACTCGATGACATTTGGCTCACCAAGGGGTGAAACCTAGTACAGCTGTAAGGCTATTCATAGTTTGCTTACTGTAAGTCAGTGATAGCCAAGCAATCTGACACATTCTAATATTCTGGCCTTGGGCTGTTCACAGGTCTATTCCCGGCTGATTTTAACTATAACCCATGGACAGCACATTATAGATAATCTTGAACTCTATCTGTGGATACTGTCAGATTGATTTGATACGTTATGGATACAATTTGCATTTCATTTGCATTGTAAGTTTGCATTAAAAAGTTTACCTTTCATGATAATCTTGACATTACTCAACGCAGAAACACCACTGCAAAAAAGCAGAGGAGTGAAGTTTACAGTTAATAATGTCCTCTCTCATGGTGCATACATTTCAGATGAGTGATAAAATGTATTAGTGAAAAAAACAACTAACACAATTGCCTTTAACTTACCACTTGTTGATAGCTTTTCACCAAAAAGAGAACATGGTTGTACTGTTATAGCCAACTTCACGTTTTAGACAATAACCCCGATATGAGAACCGTTTCGTCCTTGAAAAAGGGCTCAAGACCAATACAGGAAACATAATTTTTGTTTTTCAAATATATTTTAAAACATTTTTAGCCACCTTTTTGGTGTGTGTATCTCCAGAGATGGCAATGTCAGGGTTCGGGTTTTGTATTGGTTTATTGAATGCATTCTAACATTGTGAACATAGTAAACGTTATACTTGCTAAACATCAGTTTGCTGGCATTGTCATTGTGAACATATTAGCATGCTGATGTTAGCGTTAGCATTCACAATTTCTTTTAAACTATTTTATTGACTGAGCCTACCATAAAGCTTAGACCATGGTATTGAAAGCAGTTCAAGTGTCCAGAGGGCTCTATCAGTACTTAATTTTTGGGTTTAGATTTTTGTCTTTTTAGTAGTATTCGACATTTTTTTCACACACAACAAAACAAAAGGCATTTCCGGCAATTAGCTGGGCTAAAAACAAGGCTTACCTAACCTATCGTATAGGTCATATTTTGGACATTGTCGTGGCTCAAAAACTGACCTCTATAGACAAGTTTGGTCTTGATCCAGAGCATCTGCACATTAATCCCATAACCGATATATTATGTTTGGATCCATTAAAGTTAGTCACAATACAAGATACAATAAACCCTGTTTTTGTTACCATCTTGACTGTAAGGAAGCCAGGAGGGACAAATAAGTGTCTGTATGTGTGGGTAGGTGTTTGTGTGTGTAGGGGGTGTGATTTAAGTGATTCAGATGCATTCCCACTCATGACTTCAGAAAAATTCTGTAGGAAACTTTGCATTCTTTACTAGCAAATGAGCAGAATCTAATGAATATTGTCATGAAACTATCAGCCATAACCAAATGCCATGGTGTGCCCCCAAACTATTTTAAGATTTAAGAGAATTGATTCCTGTAGGGAATTTAGGTAAAAGCAAAAGTAATTGAGGGATATGGAAACAGTGTATCAGAAAGTTCCATCACACTCTGTACATACTGCATGTGATGGAAAACAAGGGGGCAAATCCACGTCAGCAGGCTTGAACACATGATGTTTTACTGCAGCTCCTGCCATTTGTCAACATGACCCAGTAGAGCTAGATACACTCTCCTAAACAAGGTGAATGTACAAGTTTTGCAATGAGTTAGTTACAGTCAAACAGAGAAAGTAGAAGAGAAGTTAGAAGGCGTCATTGTTTGTGGGTTAGTGTGTTATTCTTTAGACTTTTGGCCTTGACTGTGATATTGACATTACATCATGTATGCTTTTAGTGCAACTGTATTTTTGTTATTTTGTTTTTTAGACATTTGTAATCTGCCTTAGTATTTTTTTATTCAAGTATATTAAATTTTCTTTAGCTGCTTCTGAAATCAGCTAAAGAAAATTGACTACATTATAGACATGTGCACAATGAAGATGAGAACTGTGAACAAATGAGTAGCACAGTCTTTCTGACTGAACTTTCAATAAGGTTCATATTTCTTATATAATTATAAACTCTGAAAGCATTACAGCAGAACTCACTGATAAACGTGCCTCTGATAAACTCTTGAAAGCCTCTTTCTAGCATCAACACAAACAGTAAAGGCATGTTGCTATGCAACTCTTAAAGGGTTCCTGTTTAGCAGTTAGTTTGTTGATCCTAAGCAGATTTTTTAAAGCAGAATGGAAATTATATTTTGGTATTTCTGTACTCCACTCCTGAATTTCACCCGGCGTGACCCCCTGCCCACTCTAGCTGAGTGAATCACCGTGCTGGTCTTCAGCTGATATGTTCTACAGAGGATCTCTGAGCAGCTGAGCTCATTACTGAGGTCCTGGGTTGCAGATTAGAAGACAGATTTACTGCAAGGAAGTGGGACAACGCATTTGTTCACTGTACCTTACTGACTTAAGACCACATGCAAACCAAAGGAATGAACATTTAACATATATTTATATATTAACATATATTGGAAATAATGTAATAAGCTAAATAAATATATATCTCCACATATACTTTATAGTAAATGCCAATGATTATTCCTTAAACACAGTGTATATGGTAACTATACAGAAAATAAATGGTTGACTGACACTTTCTGCAATATGAGGAGGGGCAGTTACTGGTGTATTCTGCTGTATGTTTGAAATACATAGTATGTGACAAACCCCACTCCATCATAAATTTGTTTTACATTAACCAAGAAGTAGACATTGACTTTGTTCCATTCAAACAACCCTCAAACTTATCCAAATACTTTAATCTGGTCCAAGTGCAACTAAGGGCAGTGAAAGACAGCTCAGCACACAGAATGATATTCATGTGTGTGACCAAATAAGATCTTTGTAAGGTCCAATGTGTGTTTCAGACCTTTAAAATGAGGAAATGTTTAATCTGTCATGTCCTCACTTCCTCAAATTGCTGTTCTAGATTTAAGATTTGTTTTTTTAGGATCGAGGATAGAATAATATTTAGGTTAAGTTTTGGGAAACTTTAGAAGGTGTGACGGTAAGGATAAGCTATAGGGAGTGTACAAGTATGCGTGTGTGTGTGTGTGTGTATGTGTGTGTGTGTGTGTGTTTGTGTCTGAGTCACATCAGGCAGTAGTACCCTGAGGGTTTTTTTCTGTGTTCATTCTGCAGAAAAATGAAGTGAGTATATTTCTGAGAACAAGCCAAAGATAAGAGGAATTCACACTCTGTTGAAACAGAAAATCTGATTAATTGGTATAAATGTAATATGTGTTAGATGAATTCTTACCAGTCAAAAGGTCACATTGCAGAAATGGTGTTTCATTTAATACGGTACTAACCACTCTTCATAAGTAGCTCTTCATTAACTCTAAATTAGCCACTGAGCATAAAATTAGTTAGTAGTTAATAATTAGTTGCTCTTTCTGTGCAAGTAAATACATAAGGTATACTGAGTAGTTGCTAAGTAATCAATCCCTCTGACCTCATTGTTATGACTCCTTCATTAAAGTGGTACATAGACCATGTACCACTTTAATGGCCAGTATGTTGATTTACAGCTATTTATGAAGTAATCATGTTATAATGAGTATTTCTCAGGCTGTTCTTTAGTAAGTCTAACTCTCCATTATCAGCTACACAGTCCTCGAATCTGATTTATTCAGGTCATTCCTGATTCCTTCTTCAGTCCTTCCAAGTAACTACTTACAATTTTGTGTTCCACATTGTTTCCAAACTTTTTTTATAGTGAGTAATTTACTCCCATTTGTCTGCAGCTCAAGGGCTCTCTCTGGTGTCACTTCTTCAAACTGCAAGCCACTATCAACTGTTAGCGTACTTTCAGATGATCAAATAGATGTACACGGTAACGACTCTTCTTGTTTTTGTTTGTCTCATGTATGTTTACTTGTATTTCTGTGCTTTAACCCTATTGTAAATCAAATTTCCCCTGGTGGGACAATAAAGCTCGAATTGAATTGAAATGTTTTGGGTTCCACAACAGACAGCCAACAAATGATTAGAGAAAATACTCATTTCGAACTGTATGGTAACAATTTAGAGACAATTGAATTGAGACATGTTGGTTCTTATGAGTATATTCATATGTAGATTATAGGAGTGTAGTTTTTGGATCCATAGGTTTCAGTTGAAATATGCAAATGAAACTCTTGTGTGTACACATGGTAAATGGTCTGTATAGCACCCTTCTAGTCTTTACACTATGTCAGATTCACCTATACACTGATAAGCAGAAGCTAAGGCACAAACTGCACATCTGATGGGGGAATCAAACCACCAACCTTCTGTTCAGCGAATGATCTCTCTACCCCCCTGAGCCACCGCCGGCCCATATTGTTGTATGCCATTTTGATGGCTTTTGAATGGGTTGAACAAATCAAACCAAACAAAGTTCTAGTCTGTAGTGACTCAGTCACTGCTCTTTCCAGTCTTGAGTCAAGTGCATCCAGGAACTGCCAGGACTTATTACTCAAAATAATGACAATACAATCATGAGTACTAAAACAAGGCACTGAGGGTTCCTGCTCATACAGGCATTCTGGGTAATGAGACAATAGACAAACTAGCCAAACAAGCTGTTAAAAAAAGAAAACATACACATATTAAACTTCCAAAATCTGAGGGAAAGGGCGTTGTATGGAAGAAAATGAATAGAGGGGCATTTATTCAGTTCAAAATAGAGTGGGTGTTGTGAGAAGGACAGGAGGAAAATAAGGTAATAAGCTAATGAAAAGGACACAGCAATTTGAAGGGACATTTTTATGGACATTGTCAGGTAATGTAAAACTTTATTATATTATTTATTATATATATTACAGAGAAAAGACATGAAGGAAGAAATGAAAACAGGAGCAGAGCAGCATTAAAGTGCATACGACACGGTGGAAGTGGAAGACTTATTTTTCTTCACACTGTAGGAGTTAACTAACTCCAGAAGATGGCAGTAACGCTATACTAAGGATGCCAGCTGCCGTTCAACCACAAAGAAGAAGGAGGAGGCGGAAGAAATGTTTATATACAGTCTATGGAAGAAATGTATGAAAAAGTTGCTGACAATTAAAAGGGAGGCATAAACCATCATTATTCAGGGGCGGGAGTGTTTTCTAGACCGATGTGGAAAAGCGGAACCGCTGTCTCTATTTTGATAACTATTTCTGCCTATTACGCGTCGTTTTACTACAAGCCGAGAGAAACCAGGAAAACAGGTCGGTTTTAGACCAATTTCTTGCCTTTCTTTATGCTGTTTACAAGGTTCATTGTTAGAAGGTAGGTCAGCTCAACTTATTTGAATTATAAACGTTATAATACCCTCTACCCCGACGGTCTCTTGAGTGGACAGATTGTTAAACCAAACTACTTAATAAAAACATGTGTTTTATATGGCAGTGCAGTATTTTTTCACAGTAAAAATGTTTAGTTACACTAACACCGAGGCTCTTTTCTGATTTACTTCGATTTACAGGCACAATCGGCGAACATTTTCTAGTAGCCCACATTTCAGTACAATGTGTGACCTTTGTTAACGTCGAGATAATATGAGGAAACTAACAGGTGTCCTGACTAAAAGCATCTGGCGTGTAACTGTCACAGTGTTGTAGCTAACCATGATAAATCAGAGATCAAAATGTTTTGTCTTTGTCACTAGCTAACGTTACATTATACAAAGTACAAGGTAGATTCAGCATGTCCTCGCGGCCCAAACTTTCACCAACGTCACATGGTTATGATGTAATATGTCATAAGATGTTGGAATAGTTTTAGAACTGATATAACTGTTAACATTGATTCAATTTTGTATTCAGAAATTGCATATAATGGCTTATTAAAAAAAAAAAAACAATCTTTCTACTTTTTGGGAAAAAGTGAAATTTAAACAACTAGGCTATAATGCTTTTATAAGTATTTTTAGACATTTTGTATATATTTCTAATTTTAATACTTTTAATTTATAATTTTAATAAGTTTTTAAAGGTATTTTTAGAAAAATGTGTTGAAAGATGTAAAGCATCAAATGTAAAAGTAGGCAATATGCTACCTTTGGTTCATTAATACTCGCCTAAAGTACTCACTGAAGTAAAACCAGACGTGTACATCCACTGATACCCTCTACAATGTATGTCCCTTACTTTGTTTTTCAGACAAACTGCAGCTTTTTGTATATAAATGACATCACATTTTGGAATAAATGTTATTTTATACAGTAACAAATATAGCTTAATCCTAAAGTTCAACTTTTTTCCTTATGAGTTCACAGTGGTTGGTTGCTTTTTATATGCCACATTCATGAAAAATGTATTTGACCTATGAAAAATACAAAAGTTTATCTCACTTTAAGGTTTAAGGTCTCCTCAGTCATGTGATTGTGTAAAGATGTTCAAATCAAAAGGGTCCATGTGTTGCTATTTCCCCAAATAATTTGAGGGATTGACTTCTGCTTTCTTTTCTGTTGTGTTTATTTATTAATTTAAATGTATTAGTGTCAGTCTTTTCAATTAAATAAGAATATAACATAATGTTATACTCGATTTTTACTACTTTAAAAACTGTTACCTCACTTAAATTTTCTCATGCTTCTGCAAGAATGTCCTCCAGTCTTCCCCGTCATGTGATCTGGGAGTCAGAGGGGCTGGTGGCCTACCTTCATCCCAGGCCCTGGACCCCTGGCTCAGTTATCCTGGAGCGTAGCACTCCTGGCAGCCTGGGAGGCAGCATCTTCCACCTGGAGAAGCAGGAGTATTTATCTTGGCTGTTCGGGACAAGAGCCGTTGCAGAGCTGCTGTGTGACAGGCTGGCAGTTCAGAGGTGTGCACTGATCAGCAGACCCCACCGAGATAGACCTACCCAGGTGAGTGTTTGTTTGATCAGTGGATAGACTGATACATTACAACCAGTGCATAGAAAGTGATATTTTAGGATTTAAACAACTTGTAAGTGAAGTGTTGCCCAGATTGAATTGTATTTGTTTTGTAGTCAAGCATTTGTGTCATGATATAGTGAAGACAGTAACTAAATGTACATTTCTTTTCTTTTCCACAGATCCGTGTCCTCCCTCTACATGGACTGGAAGCAGAGTGGCGCCCTCACCTGGCAGAAGAAGAGAAGCACAATGCCCACGACCCAGGGTACTGCACTTCCAAGAGCGCTCCCCGATGGAGTGACTCCAGCCTGACTGAAATCCAGGTAAAGATTCGAGCCAAGCTCCCGTTACCTGACGCCCCGCCTAATCTGACTTTCCTCGGAGACGATCCAGCTCACCCTGGACTGTTTTCGCGCATTGTTCGTGGGGAGGAGCAGCATTGGCGGGTGTGGGAGGATGAAGGTCAGGTGGCCTTTCTCACTCCTTTCCCCAACTCCCCTGGCTTTACTGTGCTGGTCCCACGCCGACCTTTGACCTCTGATATATTCAGGCTAGAAAAGGGAGACTATGAGAAACTGGTGCTGGCAGCCTGGAAGGTGTCCAGGCTTCTTGAGGAGGGGTTGGGTGCTTGGGGGGTGGGGCTTGTTTTTGAGGGTTTTGAGATTGACTACGCTCACGCCAAATTGATACCACTGTTTCTACCTTCATCGTTGGGGACGGAAGATGACACCAATGAACTGCCACCTCCCAAGTTTTACCCCACTTATCCTGGATATGTGACCTCAGAAGATGGACCTGAAGCCAGCCCGGGAAGTCTAAAGGAACTACACATCAAAATTACTCAGATTTAATGCTGTTAGTTATAGATTGATTTCCTACTCATGTACTAAACCCTTAATAGTTACTTTTAGCTGTAAAGGAATTCCTTCCTGCCTTAGTGATTAACACGGATTGTTTAACATCACAAAAAATGCTTAATTTGCTACTGCAGATATCTAACAATCCAAAATTGACAAATTCTGAAAGATAATCATTTAATTCAGAAGTCTAACATCTTTAAAAAAATATGATCATGGCAAGGCTGCATAAACTGCGAATTAAATATTAATGTGCCTCTGTCAATTTCAGAAGTTGCATTAAACTCTAATAAACTGACTAAAAGGGAATTTTTTATTTTTTATTTTTTTTTGTGGAGATTCTAAGTGAATTACAGCAGATGTTTTGTAAGAAGACTCTCCTTTCTGTCTGCTTCAAGTTATACATTTCTACATTCATTTGGAAGTTTAATATACCAAATAAGACACATTAGTTAAATGTAAAGTTGTTTTTATACATTCGATGAAAGTATTTGTGTAAAACTCAAAATGGGAAATGCAAAGACAAACCATTCTGCAGTTTAAAATTCTTTCACACATTTACTTAAGATGACAAACAAAAGTTAGTATTATTTAAAATTCCTACATATCCATTCTGAAGAAAAACAATGTCAACCACATATATTAGTTACAGTGAGTTATATTACCCTACATTTTTTGAAAATTCAGTCACCTGGTTTAAAAAAAAAACTCTTTCAGGGGACTTGTTAATTCATGTAATACAGTCATTAAACTGCCAATGTGTGTTTCTTTATTCATTACAGTGTGATACATAGTTTAACCATTATAATCTGCATGCACACTCATTACACTGTTGCTAATTGGTCCCACAGTGTGTTTCTGATTATGAGGCTTAATTAATTACTGGCTAAGTGCTTGATTCGTGCTCTGTAAACCAGTTTCTGCCCCAGGCTACTATTAAAATGGACAAAACAAGGTGTATGTTTTAATGAGAAGGGTAATACTGTTTTCTATAGAAGATGGAGAGAACAAACTAAACTCTTAAAAATAATCTTGGTTCAAATGATTTAGATCCATTTTGTTTATTAAACGAAAAATTAGATGTTCTTAATCTAACTTTTCTTGTGATTGTGATTGCTTTGGATCTATTGAAGCTACATTTAGAAGAAGGTTGTAACTAATACCTATAGGCTGATTGTTTTACCTTAAATAACATTGTCTTAGAACTGACTATATACCAAAAATCTACAGGGAATGTGATGGGAAAATGCATCATTCTTGTCCAAATTAAGTAGTTTAGCTCTGTTCTGTTCTTGCTGCAAATGTACTGTGCTGCCCTCAGATAATAGTAAATTTTTGTGGCATAATAATTTTTAATAGGATATAAACATATACATATGTAGTTATTGCATTTTGGCTTTGTAGGGCACGTTTGTCTAGTTGGTCCATGGTTAAAATGGGAATAGGGATAATTTATGAAGCTTGATCACACCTTCACAACATGCGGCTTCTTGGAGAAACTCTTTCCACAGCACCTGCCGTCCACGCGATCCATCTTCGTGATGTAGAGGAGAGGCTCAATGCTGCAGCTCAGATCCATGATAGAGAACACACTAGTGCTTATCTGGCAGCGGAACGCCACGTAGGAGTAGTATGACGCAAAGGGCATGAGAGCCACTACCGGCAAGTAGTTTCCCACGATGATGGCCAGGATGATCAGCACCATCTTGAAGGCCTTCTTCTTCACCGGGTGCATCTCCTCTTTTCCCACCACAGAACGTCTAAGGACCCAGATGACGGAGATGTTGCAGAAGACCATGACTGCAAAGGCAAAGAGGATGACGACGCTGAAGACGTCGTTGACGCTCATGACTCCCAGGATGCACTTGGTGAGGCCGTAAGCCAGGATGAGGCCCCAGACCACCACAGAAAGGCCAATGCGGATCTTATTGTCTCGAATACCAGTGAACAGCACTGGGTGAACCACAGCTATGTAGCGGTCTAGGCAGATACACACCTGGAACACCAGTGAAGGAATATCATCAGGAGAAAGTGCCCAGACTCACATTTTAAATAAATACTAAACAGTGTCAGCCCTCGGTTGTTTTTATATTTATAGGCAGACATGTCTAAAATGAACACAAATAGGTAGGAAATCAGAAGTAAGCTTCTTATAGGTGTACTTTTGATTGCCTCTTCCACAGAATAACACATGAAAGTGTTAATGACACTTCAGACTTCACATAGAGCTAAGTTGATTCAAGTTCAAGAACTTGTCATTGTGCAAGCACAACAAAATTGCATCTACCTCAAATTGTGCATTATGTTTAAGACTTAAAATATAAGCAATAGAAAATACAGAATATAAGCAATATATAGTATAACATACAATTAACAAGGTGCAAAAAGCATCAGCAGAAGGGAAGTGAAGGTGCAGTGTGACAGATATTATGGTTATGGTGTCTTGCGGTTGGTGTAGAAATGATGCACACAATCAGCGGCTTGAAATGTATACTGTATTATAGCCTAGCCACATGCTTTGAGTTTCACAGGACCCTGTATGTGTATGCGCTGGCATCCAGTATTACATACAAATACTCACCAGAAAGAGTGGTGCCATGTCCTTGATGCCATATGCTAACCTCTGAGAGTACCAAACGCGACTGTCATCCAGCAGCAGACGGTTTACCAACTCTATGGGCGTCATTAAGCAGAAGTAGGCGTCCAAGATGGCCAGGTTGAAGATAAAGATGTCAGAGGTGGACGCGTCACTTTTCTTGGTGATGATCTGCCAGATGACCAGGATGTTACATGGTGTCCCCACTGCCAGGTTGAACACCTTGACCCCGAAGTAGAAAATGAAGCTGTAAGGGGCTACTGCACATACCGGGAACTGGTACCATGGAGGAGGTCCACGGGGGCCACCAGTGGGAGTGGAGTTCACGAAGACATTGGTGGTGGTGTTCAGAGTGGTGTTGAACATTGTGGGGAAGAAGGGCAGGCTGGACTGAAAGAGAAAGAAAGGAGAGTAAAGGGTTAGTTTTGATTATCTACATTTCATTGTTGTACATTTGACCACTTAAGAGTCACAGTTGTGTCTGGGATCTAAAAGTAATTTCCCAAGTCTAAGGCACCATCATGCAAAAACGTATTATTTATTCTATACAGTCCTGCATAAATGCTCCATACAGAACATCTCACAGAGGATTCAGTGGAACCAGACATCACATCAACACATCTCACCTTAACAGAGGTCAGTGTGCTAAGTCCCAGTCTTCTTCACTTTTGCACAACGTTCTTGCATGTAGCACCAGATCACTGTGGCCAGGGGCTTATAAACACGCTCCACAGGAACTAATGCCATTGTTGGTTTGGCCAGTGTGAGGGACAATGGGTATCTCTCCTCACTGTGGTGTCCAACCCAAGCTGTGATTGGGTAGTAAATCAAAATAGAGTTGCTGAGACATCTTCAGTGATTGGAGGGTTAGGATATATACAAAGGGGCGTGTATAGGTTGAGTTAGATAGTGTGTGCCCACGTAGAAGTAGACTTATACATGCTGCAGGGGCAAATATTAAAGTCTTTTGATCATATTAGTCTTTGAGTAAGTTATGTGTGATGGAAACTCTGTCTTTGCATTCAGGGCTCCATGAGTGTTGAACAACATGCCTTAGGAAGCAGTGGTAATAGTGTTGTTGTTATTTCTTTATTTTATCTGTTGTGACGCTTGTCTGTAGTTTTGCACTTTTTGAAACTGTAAACATTTTACCTCTGCAATACAGAGGTTTGTATGTTTTAATACCCTGCGAAGCACATTGAACTACCTTGGTGGATGAATTCTGCTATACAAATAAAGTTGACTTGCATTGTCTGTACCGTCCGTCCCTTAAATTGCCCTTTTGTGTGGCAAGGAGGTGTTTGAGTTCATATGCATTAAGCATGTCCCCAGTTGTTGCATTTTAAAGACATCCTTCTTATAGTTTTCCCAAGCCACTGGCCTGTGGACACTTTTTATGTTTCATGTTTGGGAGTAAAAAGGGTAATCTGATCCCAGGTATGTTGCTATGTATCTACAGTAGCACTGCAGCTGAACATTTGATCTCAGTGATGTAACGGTACACTGTTCAGTAAACAGGTGATGCAAGGTAAGCATAAATGAGAAATCTAATGCAAGGTGTTACTAATGTGCCCAGACTGTGTTAAGTGTTGAGAAAACCACCTGTTGGGAATACGAGCTTGCAAAGTCAAGACAAACACCCACTCACATAAATAATGCTGTGTGTTTCATAACATTTTAATTGCACAACCCATCACTTTAAACACAATCTCTCACCAGTCTAAGAAAATAATCCCTGACAATGTTTTGATGGTTACCTCCGATGGGGCTTCAGATGTTGAAATTATAACAGAAAGCTTGCCGAACAAATGACGGTGTGGCCCTCCTCACATAAGGGCCCTGCATACTCAGTCCACTATCCCCCCTTGTCCTCTGCACCTGCTGAAAAGGGATTAAATTAAATCATTAGACTGCTAGACCCAAGCACATTTAACAACTCTCCACACTACAGATGGAGATAATAATGATGAAATTTAAAAACATTCAGCTATGAACAGAAAGTAACAGGCAAATACTTAAAAGGAAAGTCTCAACAACAAGCTGACTTATCCCTGCACCCTCAGAGCCAGACCAAGAATAAGCAGATTCTCTCTTTCATCAAGTCAAATCAAAGTTAAGTTGTCTTTCAAAAGGTCACATTGTGTGTTACACTGGACAAGGTGTAATGACTCTTCTTAAGACCAGAAAGAGTTCAATTTGGTGATGATGATACTGACTTACGTGCACTTGTAGTGGCCTAAAAAACACAACATTGCATTTACATGCATCAATCCACAAATACATTCAACATGGAGGTAGTAGGGATAGATCATCTGTCAGTTTGATTGTGGTTATTCAAATGTAGGAAATAAATCTCCCTGAAGAGTCCGGTTTCTGTCAGGAGGTTGTCTGACTCAGCACTGATCTCTGCCTGAATCCTGGTGGTGAAGAACGCTGTGATAAAGGTAAAGTAATTGTAAATGTTGCTATGAAGGAAGCGTTTTTTTCCCATTCACTTAAATACGAAGCCTCACGAATGTACCATTGAATATTTTGTTGAAAAAAACACAGTTTGCCCATTTTTGGGAGGAAAATCGTTACCTATATCCAAAATAATGTAATTGTTTAGTTTTTTTTTTTTGGAATTTGTAAAAATACAAAAAAAACTTTTCACAAAAAGAAGCTGGTAAATGACTATGTTTCATACTTGGACAAAAACTATTGATTTAGTAGATAACCGTTGGATAACTACCTTCAGACCTGTGCATCTTTTGTGATTACATTGTAAATGTCTGTACTTCCTGTTGGTTAGCTTACAAACTATACACTAATGACTTCATTAACCAGTGGTGGACAAAGTACACAAATCCTGTACTTGAGTAGAAGTACAGATACCCATGCTAAATATTACTTCTTCAATTAGTCTTCAATTTACATTTCTACTGCTTTTAAAAATACTTAAGTATCAAAAGTAAAAAGTACTATTCTTATTTCTAACTATTTTGTATCGGAGTGCAACTAATGATTATTGTCATTCTAGATTAATCTGCTGACTATTTTATCCATGAATCAATTTTCAAAATGTTGAAAATAGTGAGCAATGCCATCACAGTTACCCAGAGCACAAAGTGACACCTTAACGATGTTTGCTTTGTCCAACCAACAATACAAAGCAGAACATTATTACAGATAAATTCAAATAATTCAAAGGAAAAGTAGCAAATATTCACATTTGTAAAGATGTAACCATGAAATATCTTTAGATGGAAAATGTCTCAAATGATCAAAGTTGTTGCCAGTGAATTTCAATGTCAATCTAATAATCATATCAGCTGTACTTGTATAAAAGGTTGGGTAGTACTTTGTAAAGTAACCAAAGCTGTCAGATAAATGTACTGAAGTAAAATGTACTTTATCTCAAATGTGTATTTAAGTACAGTCCTAGAGTAAATGTACTTAATTGCTATGCACCACTGTCATTAACATAAATCAGATGTCTGACAGCTACTTTGTCTGGATTATAATTATTATCTGATTTTTTCTCTCCCAAGAATGAAAATAGTGTTGTAATATTTTTCATTTGAGATGTTTTAAGGTGCACAAATCCATTTAAAACGGAAGTTACAGACATATCTACAGTACAATGCAATCTGTCGACCAAACATAAGTCATGTGAAAACATGTAAAACAAACAAACAAAAAAAACATTCAAATTGTGGGGGTGGCATGGTGGTGCAGTGGTTAGCACTGTCCCCTCACAGCAAGAAGGTCGTGGGTTTAAACCTGGAGTTTGCATGTTCTCCCCGTGTCTGTGTGGGTTTTCTCCGGGTGCTTGATTAGGTGTGAGCATGAATGTGAGTGATTGTTCGTCTATGTGTGGGATTGTTGCCATGAAGTCAGTTTGTTGCATTCTGAGAGACATGAAGTTAAATTCTTGGCATTTCACCTGGACGGGCGTGGTTTTGTAGGATGCAGCAGTGCCGGCTTCTGCGAGCACCGTGACTACCTCAGGCCTTGCTTTGAATGCATAACTTTTATAAGATGGAGGGTGAGTTAGCCTATGTTTTGTACAAAGAATGCACGTTACTAGCCTACTTTTTCACTTAGGCCATCTAATGTCAATAGCCTATATTTTAGCACTATGTAGGCAAAGTTGTAGGCTAGGCTACATATTTTCCAGTAGCCTAGTATGACATTATGATGGTGGCTTATTATATCTATGGTCACTTATAATTGATCAACAGTCAGTAAATGTCATTTGAAAATCTGCATCTAGTTGCGGTTGCTGCCAACTTAAGGCTAAGGAGCAGGTGGATCTTTGTAAATCCATGATTAGAAAAAATCGTCTTTGTTTGAAATTAGGCTACAATTAGGTGTGGGGTTTCCTGTACGTTTAATCTTGGGGTAACTGGAAAGACTGGTTAGCCTAATAAACAGCATGTTAGGTTATGGTTTTGGCTAATTTATCCAAAAAGGGATGAGACGACCCCATGCAAGCCTTTATAGACTAGGCCTAAAGAAAACAGCTGATGGGAATGCACATCAGGCACACAACACCAACGGACGTCAGGCACGGCTTCCGGGTGAAATACCAAGTTTAAAGGGAGTCCCCATCATCACAATGATTCCTAATCCGCTCAGACAGAGAGACTGAGTAAATGGCAACACAAACTGTGGTTTTATTGGACAGCTCACATGAGCTTGTGTAACCTCAGCAAAAGAAACTGGACTGGAAACTATATGCCTGCCCAAAGACAAAACATTCTGTAGCATAACCACACGTTTGACAACAGAAATGTTCCCATAACTATGAAAAGAAAACTATGATGACAATAATGATGTAAACGCGTGGCAACAGAGAGGATTTGCATCATATTTACAAGCTAGACAGACAAAAGAACATCTGGCATAAGATAAATTGAATACTTATGCAAAATAAAGAAAGTTTTTTGGATGTATGTCATTTCAGTGTTACGCCTACCTACTTCCTCCCTGATCAGGCATGGTGGTTGTCAAGGCTGGAAACAGGCACATTCAGAATATATATAGAAAAAAAAAACATTTTTAGATAAGAAATTTTTTTTTTGACCAAGACTATATTTTGTTTAGTAGAGAGGGCAGAAAGGAGTACCGGCAGCTTGTGAGAAGTGCCGGTGAGCTAGAAAAGCCATATAATTTTTATGGTGAGAACATTGTGTCAATATCGTGTTTAGCTTGTTGCTGACCCTAAGTAACCAAAAAATCAAGTATTTCAGGTTCAATGTAATAATATTGAGCACTGAAGCTTTAAAAGGAAAAGTTGTGCATTGTGAAAATATCCTCTGTTTTGACAGACATTGACAGCACCTCGACCTTAACTCAGCCACGGTGATGGAAAACTTTAAGGTTAACGGAACCATCAATCCCAACAACATGTTCGAGAGGGTCCAAGATGTTGTCTGGTACTTCCTGCCCACTGTGGTCATAGTGCCACCACTGGGGCTGCCAGCCAATGCTCTGGTCATTCGCCTCCTGCTGGGCAAACCTGGGATCTGCTCCACCTCAGAGATCTTCACATTCAACCTGGCACTATTCGACATGCTGTTCTGCTTCATGGTCCTTGTTGAGTACATCCGTTTCCGGTGCAGTCCAACAATGGAGTCTGCTAACTTCCTGGCTTGGGGTTTGAATCAAGCAGGGGGGCCGATGTTGCTCTGCATTTCAGGTTTGGACAGCTACGTGGCCGTCTGCCATCCGCTGGTCTTCCTCCGGCTCAAGGACCCTAAACTACGACTGTCGTTGTGCTTGGTCGTGAGTGCCATGACGGCTGCTTGTTGCTGTCTGGTGAAGACCGCCTCAGGGTTCAAGTGGAATGTGATATTGGCGCTCCTGTGCAGTGCCATAGTGATCATATCAACCTGCAACATCCTGATTCTCAAGTCCCTCCGCAAATCAGGGCCCAACGGGAAAGACGTCCATCCAGTGAAAAAGCGAGCATTCAAGATAGTATTGACTGTGTTTGTGCTCATCAACGTCCACTACCTCCCCCCCGTCACTGAGTACATGCTGAGGGAGTTTGGTCCCAGGTATTTCAAGCCCTTCTCTGTTGTCACCGGTGTGTCCTACACAGCTCTCTCTCTGGGCAGTTTCATTCAGCCTCTGACTTATCTTGTCCGGACCAAACAGCTGCCCAAGATATTTCACCACAGCTCAGCTGCTGAGGGAAAAACTTAAGAGCAGCCCAACCTTCATGACATGTAGAACCACTTATAAGGGAAGAGCTGGACTGTAAACTGGGCCAGCATTTATCAAGCTTCTCAGATTTACTCATAAGAACACTGCTAAGAATTGACTTAAGAGTAAAAAATTATCTTGACTCAAAGCTGTGTTTAAAAGTTAGTTATTAAGCATCGTAGTCTTAATTTGTGTGAAGTGAAGGACTAAATCTTAAGGGTCAGCCTTAGTGCTAATTCACGAGACTTTGCTGTGCCGCAAACAGGATTTTACATGACGATGTAGCCAAGGACCAATCACTGAGTAGATTTCCTTATTTAAGAATATTCTCAGATAAATTCACATTGAATGGTGAAATTCCTAAGAGGAGTTTACGTTCAACAGACATTTGATAATTAAGTATTTTTAAGAGAATACATTATGTACATGGGCTACGTTCAGACTGGAGATGAAAGATAAAAAGTTGATCTTTATATGAGCGCCATCTCAAAGAGACAGGAGCTTCTACAGCTTGTTTCAGACAGACTGAAATAAGGGCCTGCATGAAGGGCCAGTTTAAGATAGAAAATTATTTTTTTGAACTTTGAATCATGCAAAGCTGCCATAGGGGAGTCACAGAACTACAATATATGGCTGGAAATGCAGTTTAATTGCGTAAACATTCTTCCTCTCTGTGCAATATTCGTGCATGTCTGTCTCCACAGCACCATCAAAAGCCCCTACTGGCAACTCCTAACAACTTGAGGGACCTCTCGAGCTGTCCTAAATACCTGTGAGAGTAAGATTCTTACCTTTAAAAAATTTGATTACTTGCTTTTATACTTAAGTTTGAAAGTAGGAGTAAATTTCATGAAATTGCAGCACTTAATACTAAAACGGCACTTTGAGAAGCTTGATAAATTCCCGGCCCTGGATGGTGAGATGACAATATAATAACACTTTATATATTAATAACCTAAATGCTATATTGTTGTTATATATAGATATTTTTGAGAATTCCCTCTGGTGACACTTAAAGGTTAAAAAAGTTGTGGTGGTAGTTATTTTTATTTTATGCCTTTTAATGCTTGTATGCAAACCTGAAATTTCTCAAGGTTTTTATGTGCATCTAGCTTTTCAATCTTTTTTTGATTATAATTTTGTCATATTGCCTTTCAATTCTATGTAATAAGCATGTTTTCATTTTTTCTCTTACAAAATTCAACATGCAACATTAGAAAGTACAACTTTATAAAACAATAAATGCAACAACAAAAGTAAATCACAATGTTTTATTTAATGTATCATCAATCCTACTTTGGCTTACAAAAAGGCATTGATAGTCAAATACTCAGGAAGTATCTGACAGATGAATCCGTTTTATTAACCCTTTCATGCAAGAATGATTAAAACCCAAAGTAAGTTTATATGATTATTTTACTTTTAAACAAGTGAAAATTATTATTTAATAATTATGTAAAATTATCAGTCACAGAGCAAAATGTACAAGAACACACAAACATTTTTTACCTGTCTGGTTTTCTAAGAATAAAAGGATTTAACAGTTATTCCTGAGGTACCTGGTGCATCTCTTCTTCCCTCTGCTATTTTAAATTTATGATGCAATATCTCAAACAAAGACGATAATCAAACGGACAATGCTTTGGGGTCCGCCACATGGTGGTTGGGATATGGCACTATAATTTAAATGCTTCCAAATATTTGTCCATTGTAGTGGACGTCATGCATGAAAGGGTTAACAAAAAAACACAAACAATTGTCAGCAATGGCAATTAACATCTTGATTTACTGTTTAAGTTGTCTTTTAGGCTTTAAATTAAATACACATTATCAGATGTGTACGGAGAAGAGAAGAACCTAGTTAAATTCTCAAACTAAAACATTGTGCTGTGTTGCTTGTACAGTTTTACACTAACAAGAACCTAAGATAATTACACTGTCTCTAGTGTGTGTTCAGGAAAGAGCATGTTTACACAGAGATACAAACATTCAGACCGTACAGGCTATTCAACAGCTTTCAAATATGACAACAAATTCTTCACCTATTTTAGGAAATATGAGATACATTGTACTGTGTACAGTGTATAAGAAAGCATTTTCCATCACCTGCATTTCAAAAGCAAGTCAAATTTGAATTCAACATTATAAAAGAGGGTCTACCATGAGGAATTTTAAGAGATTCTTAAGCACTGCAAATGATTTTGCATAATTATAACTGGTTTTGCAAAAATGTACTTGATGAATTCAATAAAATTAACTGAACTTGAACTGTACCAAAGTCCTTGCATTAACTACAATTATCATCAGTTAAATAAACGCAAAAATGCAATACACTTATTATATGAAAATATTTTATATCCACCCCACAAACAAAAAAAAAGGTTACAAATATGGGTACATCTTCACCACTGCATGTCTCGTAAAATAGCTCATTTATGACTAGTATATTATTATAGTACATATTTAATAGAGGAAATTAGCAAGAAATTATTTTACCTGAAATCACCTCTAGTGCACTTCCTAATAAGAAAAATTATCAAATATTTTCTCCACCATCTCCTGTCTAAATGTACTGTGTACAACAAACAAAGAACACATGGGAAATGACTGAATGACACTGATGTACACACTTCTGTTGTGTGCAGTCTAAACAAAATTTGTGTGAACAGCTACTATTTTAGAGATATTTAATCGTAAACTTGACGGACATGTCTAGCATGTTGGAAAGTAATAATACACATATTTCTTTCCTGGCTGTGTAGCTCATACAAAAAAACAAGTGTTATGTACAAGGATGTAGATACACAGATGTCACGAAGTCAACATGACGTCTTTCAAAGAGGTTAGAAAAAGAGGTTTTCAAGTATTTAAATACTGTGATTAAGTTATAAAATCAAAACTGATGAATTACAACTTGCTAAAAGAGAAAACAAAATAAATGTTACAAAGTTTCATATTTTACCTTTTATAGGAATATAAAATTAAATTAAATTTAACAGTAACAATACTGATTACAAAACATTCACTGCTGCCCTCTGTATAATTTCTACCCATTGTTCTTAGGATGGTATATCCTGTTAGTGACAACATCAGCAATAACCAAAGATCCTAAGAGTTACCTGTCAAAAATGGCATTCCAACCATTTAAGATAACTGGAAATTAACAAGCCCGATTGAGAACATCACAAACTAGAAAGATATTAAATACTGAAACATACTGAAACAAATTTAGTGCCAATAAAGGGACAGAGCATGATAGAAATACTTTTTTAAAAAAACTTAATTAAAGTCTCACTTATGTGTTATAGCAGAAAGCCTTGAGGTGCAAGCTTGTAAACAAGTTGTTGCTAGTTTAAATACCAGGACCATGCAGGGAAATCTTGGTCCATAAAGTTAATTTAAAACACTGTATTTTCTTAACTTGCCAGAGAACCATTGAGCAAGAAGTTCAACACTTAAGTGGCCCAGTCGTGGTAACACATAAAGAAATGTAATTTTACTGGGAAGCTCCAGGGTATGATTGTGTGAAGTAGGAAAAACCTGAAATCGTAGAAATAATTCATAATAACAAAAGTTATAACATTATCTAGCAGTCTTATCTGACAGAGCATCAAGTTTCCAGAACTTTATGCTCTGAAGTGGTTTTACTAGGTAGATTTTTGGGTTTTTGAAACACTCAACATTTATTAAATGTGTACACCTGAAATTGTGCACAAAAATAACCTCCTATGATTTCTGTCAACATAAAGCAACCCAAAACAAAGCAAAACCAGCTGACAGACATTACCCAACACTAAACACTTTTTCAGTAGTATTTGGCCCTGAACGCACCTCAGACAACCAAACTTAAGTTAACTTTTTAAATAGCATACTTTGCAAATGTACTTTCCGATATGTTGTAAAGAGACGCCACGTTGTGGTCAGTGAATCTGCTGTCTCATGTGGAAGCAATCTGTCCATGCACACGGAAGCGGTAAAGACACGTATATTCCACATGACCCCAGTTAGTGAGGACGCGCAGCTCCACAAATCTATACACCACGTCACTGGGGTTCTGGGGGGAGGGGGACACAGAAGAAAAGACAAGAATAGAGAAGAAAGACAGAAGAGAAAGACAGAAAATGTAAGAGAATAGAGGAAAACAGTGCAGGAGAGATGATGATAAAAAAGACAAAAAAAAATAGTCAGTTGTCAGATTGTTTGCATTTTCACAGTCCACAACAGCAAGTAGTTCGGTAAAGTCCAATTCATATTTTCTCCGGTTTAACTCACAGGCAGCTTAAACGTCTGTGTTGGCTCTCCATTTTCATCATAAGTGAATGTCCCCAGCAGTGTTCCTTCTTCTGTGTCATCTCTCATTCCCTGAGGAAGAGAAATCTACGTTAGAGCGGTGAAGAAATCAGAATTGGTAAGCCGCTATGAGACTTAAATTTTTTCCCCCTTTGGTTTAATCACAGAGTGACAGGGCTTTAAAATTAGGGTTGCACGATATCGTCAAAATGTGATATTGCGATACTGATCATGAATATTGCAATAACGATATTCATTTCGATATTGTTAAACTCATGTAAAAACACAAGTTAATGAGCCCTGTTTCTGAGAAGTTACCCATTTGATCTCCGTTGTTTCGTTGTCTCTCTGAGCCACACTATCTTCTTACTTTTGTCCTTTCTTTTCTTTCATTTTTGCGACTCGTTTTGCTTTTCTTTCTTTTCTTTTTTTCCCTTTCTCTCTTCACTCACTACTTTCTGCGACATTTTCGATATTTGACTGCGCAACGTGAAATTGCAATAACGATATTCAGTCAGCCTCGCAAAATAAAAAAAATGGAGGGTGACCAACAGATTTACATTTTACAATCTGAATTATCATGATTTAAACAAAAAGCAGTCTCTGAAAGCTTCCTCAAACACGATTCAGGTTTTATAACCATGCAGCTTCATTAAGCAGATTACAGGCTGTGTCCTATGTAAGCTAATATCCAACATTTTCCCACCCTCATTGCCTAATACCTGTAAGCTTTTAACAATTGCAAGAGCCAAACAGGCACAGCATTTTCTAATTATTCATCTTGAGGTAATGAGTTTAAAAGAACATTATACTTTTATTTTATTTCTAAATTACATTAAATTACATAAATGCCAAAATACTTTTAAAAGCTGCTATCGTCTAATTTTTTATTTTATTTTAACTTTTCTTTATATCTATTAATGAAAGAGGATTCAGGCAGTTTAGGTAGGTTTGTATTTGCTAATAATGTTTTGTTAGAATACACTAGAGCAGAGAGCGTGCAAGACATTTAATCCAGCAAATCACTTTTTATACAACACCATTCATGGGCAGCCATACTGCATTTCTAGGCTGGGAGCACTCACATAGACTTCAAAGTCTTTGGGGGCAGAGTCAATACGGCCAGTGGGGGAGTTGTAGCGCGGCAGGTGGTCCAGTGTCACATGAGTTATCGTGATGGGGTGAGACAGAGAGATCACAAGAGTCCCCTGGACACCATGAAATGCCCAACATTTCCCTGGGAGCAGCACTGGGTAGCCCTGTCACAAAAAGAAGAGACAGAGCTTTTAGTACCTGCCCAAGTGGTAAAACACTGGATAATTGTTTTCATTCTAAGAAACATTGAGAGAGATGAGCAGACGAGAAAAGAGAGAAAGGTCAAATGTCTTAAGAAGATAGATGAGGGTGGAACGTAATGGACATAAGTTGTTTAGGGAAAATAAAACAGATTTGAGGGGATAGATAGGACAGACTGGTAAGTTAGAAATAAAACACAGAGAACATCATAATACCTGAATAACAGTGCGTGGGCTTTCAGATGGGTACCACAGAGGGAATCCAAACAAGGTCACACATGCTGAACGAATGCGATATGTCTCTGAACACCTTGTACTGATCACACTGGCACCTACACACACACACACACACACAGACAAATAAAAGATTTCCCCTTGTGTTTCCCCCGTCAAAAATACCCAAATATTTTTAGTCAAATTTGTTTGTTTTTGTAAGTGACTACAGAGAGAATAAATTATTGGAAAATAAACCAAGTGACAGCGACATGAAGATATTCCCAACCTTGAGTCTCTAGTGCAAAGTCGGCAATTTTGTCAGCCATGGGACGTCCACAGTCTGAGCAGCTTCCTTTGTCACCGAGCCTGACAGCATCATGTTCCTGATTCACATTCACATACAGTACATATCGTGAGTATGTGTGCACCAAGTCAAATGTATCAACTTACGCCATGATGCAGACACACATTAACACTGAAATCAAATCATATAAGCAGTATTATTAAAAACGTATTAATACCACCACATGGCAGAGAAATAAAGCAATGACAGATTTTCTTGTGCTGTGATTATATTTATATGGGTTTGAGAGTTGGTAGGTGGTCCTGAAGATTATCTACTGTATCCCTAAAGCAACCTTGATGCGGTCAGTGAGCCACTTCTCCATGGCCTGCTGGAGCTCTGGGGTGAGACGGTTGTGGATGGGGTTGGCACTGGTATCAGGACAGGGGGCTGCAGGAGGCATCAGCTTGAAAGATGACCACTCCTGGGACAGCTACAAGAAACAGGCAGTCACATTATAGCCACATAATCTAAAGGAAACAGGTCAGGTTAGGAGATAACATGAACAAAACACAGCATTAACGAATGTCTTTTGTGTGCAGTTCTACCAACACTGTTACCTTGGTGGTCTGGGCCTCTAAAGCTTGGAGGCTGAGGCTGAGGCTGGCAGCAGCAGAGCGGCTGTCCGTCTGGTAATCCACCATCTGCATGCCTAACCGAGCAAGCTCCTGCTCCAAACGTAGCCGACTGTCCGAGTCCACAACCTCAAGCTTGGCTTTCATATCCTGAATGTCTTGCTGAAATCTCTCCTTCACCTGAGAGACAAATATATAATAGGGTCAGTCATTACTGGACTCATGGTGAGATTGGAGGAGTGACTGAGTGAAGAGTTGGGTGGTGTCAGGGAATCTGAATACAGCTATGGATCAGTCTTGAGGCTCTGGGATGTAAGAGGTTACTGTTGCAGTCAAATTTAATGCTTTTTAAGACCTTTAAGGGCGCTTTCACACCTGTAGTTCAGTTCATTTGGTCCGGGCCAAGTGAATAAAATGATGCACTGTTGCATTTTAGTTCTGGTCCGGTTCATGTTCACACTGCAGTTTTACAAACGAACCAAGAGAAGTAACCATGACGTTACACAGACTTACAGGTAGCTTGTTGATTGGACAGCTTTGACGATTGTCATCCTGCATCATCATCACGTAGAACTACCAGTTTTCTCCCAATAAGTAAATATACAGCCTATTACAATATACATTTCAACTGGAGTTTTGGAAAATGTTCTTGACTGACAGATCGCGTTCCTTCATCGTTTTGTCGCTATGGTTACACACACACACACACACACACACACACACACGTGTGGCTTTGATGGTGTCATTAATTATGAGGAGGGCAACACTCCAGTCCAGCAGGTGGCGCTAATGCACCTAAAACGGTTTATTTCTTGTATGTAAAGTATGTAGGCCATGTAATTGTAATGTAACGTAGGTAAGGAAATGTGCAAGTTAAAATACTGACATAAACCCTGATAACATGTTTTGGGCGGTTTTGTGTGTGTTTTGGCGGTTTTTGAACAGTTTTTGGGCTGGAATTCATCAGCAGGATCTGGCAACGCTGCAACACTCAATGCTTGGCTAGCTTCTTCTCCTCGTTCTATATAAAACATCTACGTGACAGATGCTGTTATAAGAGCAGCGTAACTCCTGTAAGGAATCAGGAGGTGCATAGCGAGTCTTTGATTGGGCCGAGTGGCAGAAAGTGACTGTGACAGCGAGCAAATATTCTAGAAGTGAATGTGAAAAACAGCATGTCAGCTTCTCAAGACCAAGAAACGTCTGTCTGTTGTTTCCCCACCTGCTGGAAAAGTGAAGCCGGTTTGCGCTAGCTAACGTCTCCCCTCCCCTTCAGACTGCGCAGCTGAGCAGGGAAGCTTATAACATTACAGCAGGCTACGTTTTATGGCTAAATGTAACTTTAGCTCAATTTATAGAAAGTAACTGGTAGCTGTATTTTATTACTGCCTACCTGTCCAATGTTGAGAACATCATGTACAAACATTTCTGTCCTGTACAGACTGATTCATCCTAAATAATTTTTCAGATGAGTCTGAAAAAGTGGTTGTTAGGGTGGTGACTGGAGGAGCTGAGCTTAGTAAAGCAAATTAGTGATGCAAACTAGTCCTTTTAAGCTAATGAGGAGACGTTTCTTTTGGGATTTTAATGTGCAAATAAAAACCACCTCAGAAGGGAAGAGGTTTCTCATGTTGCCTATTTTTTATATTAATGTCTACAGATAAATGTCAAAAGCTGTAAAATCAAGACACAAAAGGCAAACATGAACAATCGTATAATGATTCTGAGGTCATATTAACAGGGTTTTAGGGGGTGATGCCCAAAACATGCTGTGCCTTAAATGTCTAATTACTGTGGAGAGCATCATAACCAACCAAATTACTTTCCCCAAATCTAAAGGTTATAGTTCCTCCCCAGTAGACTGATCTTTGGCTATTGGTTATTTATTATCTGCTCTAGCTTTTCCAACTATTTGTTCAGAGATATGGTAAATATAATTGCCCAAGATGATGTAAAATTACATTTGTCACTGTACAACGTAATCCCTAACCCCTGACTACCACCTGACCATGACTACCACCAAAACATTCCTCTAAAGCTCACATAAAACTATGGGAAAACACTGAAATTTCAAGCTATTCTAATGTGCACTTTGAAAGACACTTTAGAAAGCTACTTTAACCTGTAGTTATAGATCATTTTTTGGACTTGCGCAAATGGAAGGAGGATGTGATGTATAGCTGTTGGAGCTAGACAGATTGATCAGATCTTCCTCCAACCACTTTAACTTGCGTCTCCCAGTCTTGCAGCCACGACTGACGATAATGGAACATGACACGCAGCCAGACGTCTGCAGCTAACGTACACGTAACATATGAGTTATATTAATGGCAGGGCTCTGGCATTGTCAAATACAAAAAAAAATAAAATCATACAAATACACACTCAAAGGTGTTTTAGGCGACAATTTTCCCACCAGCCTTAAACGCACCATCGGCAAATTTACTACCTACAGCAAATTTGCGGTTTAAGACAGTTTAAGATCTTAATTTCCCTGATTACATTTTAAGACCTTTTAAGACTTTTTAAGGAGCCGTGGGAACCTGTGTTGAGTCTTCTAGATGCATCATGGGTCTAATTAAATATTACATAACTGATGGGAAGTGACCACTTGGAAGCCCAAGTTTCACTCTCATACACGCTCTCAAGCCAGGTTTCTAAACAGAGTAGATGCTCAGTCTGCAAATAACAGTTGATGTCTGCAACTAGATGCATCATAGGTCTAATCAAACATTACATAACTGATGGGAAGTGACCACTTGGAAGCCCAAGTTTCACTCTCATACACACTCTCAAGCCAGGTTTCTAAACAGAGTAGATGCTCAGTCTGCAAATAACAGTTGATGTCTGCAACAGCAAGCTAGATAACTGTTCAGGATTGTAAAGGGTTTGCATTTCCAGAGTACTTTAAGTAAGTTAAACAATAAAAATAATAAAGTCACAAATTTATGTAGAAAATCTGCCTGTAAGTCTCTGCAGTTCCCCATCACCACCGCTAGATGTTACTCTACACAGCTGGGTTTTAACCCTGTTGTTACTTCCATCCTGGCTTCTATCCTTGTCTCACCAGGCAGGACTTTTCACCACACACTGAGCAACTTTGTTAACTACAAGAAGAAAGGAATGGCAGAAGACATAGATCATAACAGAGAAAGAAACTGGCAGAAACAGAGAGCGAGAGCCCCTTACCTGGGAGAGAAGGCGTTCCTGTTTTAACTGTAGGTCGTTCTGCTTCAGCTGCAGCTCCTCCTGCAATAAACAGATAAAGGTTACTGTCAAAACACACAAACTTAGATTCACATGATTTGGGATGAACAATTAATTGTAATATTATCGAAATAGCAATATGGCCAAATGCAATATCCAAATCACAGAAGCTGCAATTTTTGATAAAAGGTAAATTGTGTCACAAAACAGCATTATAATGAAGTAATGCAGTGCTGCAGAGACGCCCCAGCCAACAAATCTTGTTATCTAGATGTAAGAAAATAATGTTTGTTGGTAAAGTACCCCAACAAATGTTACTTCATCATGCTTTTGATATTTTATATATAACTGTAATGCAAAACGTATATTTCCTACAAGTCTTGAATCATATCACAAATCGTAATATCTGTCAAGATAATCACAATATGATTTTTTTTACCATATGGTGCAGCCCAACATCTGAGGCATCAAAGTTATTTTAGCCCCTTACTTTCATCACTTTCTTTATTTTGTTATATTGAGCAGGCTCAAACAAAGTGAAACTGCTGGAGCTAATACATCACACCTTAGTTTTTTTTTTACATGTTTCAGTAATTTGCAGACCATTTGTATCTTACCATAACACGCTGCATCTTTGCTTCTACAGCAGCAGACACAACGGAGGGATTCTAGAGGAAACAAAGACTCATAAATAGAGGTAACAAAAAAGACTCAAACATTTCATGCCAACAATCCACAAGTAAATAGGTGTGGAACTCCATGTAAGAAACATTTAGTTATATATGATTTTGTGCTTTATTGTAGTCTTCCATTAAAATTCTGACACTACACTTACAGACAGCTAAATTAATCAATTCCTCATGTATTTGTGAGCTTTTAAAATCCTTTAATGGCTGATCAAAGGAGCTATTCATATATTAAATTTAATTGATTTTGTATCATGATCCCCTACAAAATCGGATACTTTTTTCACATAAAAATAAAAAAAGATTAAAACGTTTAAAGGTTACAAAATGCATTTAAAACAGGAATTATAGCTTTGATATCTTTGATGAACGGTTCAGGATTGGCAGGTTTGCACTGCCAGAGTCTATGCAGTTCCCCATCACCACCACTAGATGTTACTCTACACAGCTGGGTTTTGCCCTGCTGACACTCCCAACCTGGCGTCTATCCTGGCCTCACCAGGCAGGACTTTTCACCACACACTGAGCAACTTTGTTAACTACAAGAAGAAAGGAATGGCAGAAGACAAAGAGAATAAAAGAGAAAGAAACAGGCAGAATCAGAGAGCAAGAGCTCCTTACCTGGGAGAGAAAGCGTTCTTGTTTCAGCTGTAGCTCGTTCTGCTTCAGTTGCAGCTCCTCCTGTAACAAACACAGATCCAGCTTACACTTCAAAAACATGGACTTAGATTTAAGAGGCCTCAAAATTGTTTTACCACTTTCCTTTCATTACTTCATTTTGTTACAAAGGGAAGCTGGTTGGTCTAATATATTACACCTTAGAATTTTATCATATTTTTTCAATAATTTGCAGACCATTTGTGTCTTACCATAAGATGCTGCATCTTTGCTTCTACTACAGCAGACACAATGGCTGGATCCTAGAGGGAAAAAAACATGACTCTTAATACATCGAGGCAACAAAAATTTCTCTCAAGCAAATGGATGTATGCTCCCTTCTCTTCTAACTGAATATTTGATGCCAGTTCTCTATTAATTCTGCTGGGTATTCTTGCACAATCTTACAGTTTTGCTTCTTTAATGTCCCTCCATTAAATTAGCAATAGGAAATAAATACTACATTGTTCATGTACAGTCCTGCAAAATGTAAACAAAGAAATTGACACATTACACAACATGGAAGAAATCTGAGGATCAAAGTTACTTGGAGAGTGTAAGAAACATTTGCAATAACCCACGGTAATCGATTCATCAATCCACACACATAACCAGCGAGACGAAGATAATCTGCCCTACCACCACAGGTGTAGGATGCACGGTGTTGAGCTGAGGTGAAGGAATGGCAAGGATAACAGGTTGACTCTCGGGTTTTGTCTGAGACAGGGGTTTTGTGACCATCATGTGGGAGATGAGAGAGGTCAGTAAGGGAAGGAGGAACCAAATACCTGGAGAAAACAGGAGGAATGATGTCTTAAAGATAGGGTAGGCAATTTATTTCAGAAGCTGTTCGGTTATATTTATTGTAATTCTCTTCACATCCAGACATCAATTAATAAATCAAATAAAAAAAACAATCATTACAGTCCGAAATGATTCTTTGGCCTCTGATTTGTGCCCGATCACTCACTGCACATGAAAATGTGTTTGGGAGAGCGGCTTTGGAGAAGGGATGGGGAGGATTTCTTTTGGCGGGATACTTTTAAAATCTGTTAGTGATGTGCGATACTAATTATTTCCTATACGATCCAATACCAAGTAATACCCAGGCTGGTATTGCCGATACAAATACTTTACATATTTTATTTCTAGTTTAATGTGACCTCCCCCCCTCCCGTTTCTGTATTTATGAGGGAAATAAAGAGTTGGCTGTAGGCTTACCAATTCCAAATAATAGCTGCATAATGACAAGACATCAAACTACTGTCATATTTAATTATAATAAAAAAATATTGCTCAGAACTGCTGCTTCATAACATCATCCTATTATTGTGACTTAATCTCAGATGTCAGATGTGTAACAAAGGAGGTGGAAGGAGAAGTAGTCCCTAACAACCCAAGTATAATTAGACCATCCTGGTAACGATAGTTATGATAAAAAAACACACTCACTCCAAATGACTTTGTTCTGTTATCGATCCTAGAGCAGGAAATGTTGGTATCAGAAGTATCGATACTTTAGTATCGATCTGCATATCACTACTGTCTGTCTCTTGCTAGTTTCTCTAACGGTGCCTACCCCAGCTTTAAGAACATCACTTAGAAACAGAGACACACAAAGTAAACATCACCCATCACCCATGACTGACATTTACTGTGACTCATTCAGTCACACTGAGGTGGAGACGTGTGAGGAAAAACTCAACACAAAAGCAGAGGAGACCAAGCAGTGCTGCCGTGCAAGTCAAACACACTCATTCTGGGGCGGACGCTACCACCTCTGCTAACCACTTAACTAAGATTACATATAATGAATACATCTACCTTGTACTAAGATGTCTTCAGAAAAGTACAGTAATGTGCAAACATTTTAGGCAAGTGTGGAAAAATGCTGTAAAGCAAGAATGCTTTCAAAAATATACATGTTTATAGATTAGATTTATCAATTGCAAGCAATCAAGAAAAGTTGAAAAATCTTTGATTTTCTTTTAGCACCTGTGTGACTTTTCCAAAGTGATAATAAAAACCTTTAAATTGTCTCCTGCAGACAAAGAAACATGGGAAACAAGACTTCAGAATTTAGGGCACAGCATGACCAAACTAGATGTTCCAGGGGATGATGAGGTGTCTCCAAGTTGTGACTGAAAAACTGACCAAATGACACGCAAACGTCTGTTGAATGTTTTTGTCACTTACATGTAAGTATGATGAGGAGAAGGATAAGCAGACCACAAGCCTTCTTCGTGTGACTGCTGAATGAAGTATTAGCTGCAGGCACAAGAAGAAAAGGTTATGTGCAGCGATTTTGATAAGCTGGAGATAAATCACATGCATCGATTGTGAAAACACAAACCTACAAGCACGAGAAAGCTCTATAAAAATTAACTCATGGAAATCATGGAAATGTGAACACATGCTGTATAAATCCACTTAACAATGCTAGAAACACAAGCACATGTGTGTACAAACTGTTCATATACATATACATACATACATACATACATACATACATACACACACACATAAAAAAGACAAACATGTACACCAACACCATACCTAAAGATGCCAGGTGCATTATTTTTGACTGTACTGCGATGGCCATCAATGAGATTGAGTCTGCACAAAACATAGGAAACAATGTGATTATCACATAGTAATACACAGACACACATATACAAACACACACTCACCCATACTCACCCATAAGACTAAAGAAGGCACTGCTGATTCTGCTGCCATATCCAGAACTGGGAGCCCCACTGATCCCTTCTGCCGCTGCTGGTGGCGGCGGATGTGGGCTTCCTGTGCGTACCCTCAGAGGATGAGTACCCTGAGCTGTCCACAGTGCTCTGGCTCTGTTCCTTGAGACTGGGCTTGAGGTGTGATTCTGGTCTGCTTGAGCTGCTGCTCTTCTCTGGAGATACTGAGGGGCAGCAGGTGGGCGTCTGACTCCGGGCTGATGATGGTGTCAGTGCAGGCCGAGGGGTGGCCATGGTGGAAATGTAGGGTACGGTCCTCATGGTTGGCTCGGTCTGACTGCTCGCGGGAGAAGGACTCAAGCCTAAGAGGTAGAAGGGAGATGAGGAGAGACAGAAATAGTGAGCAGTCAGCTGTGAATAATTATAATAGCTAATAATTTGTTTTCTTGTTGCAAGACTTTCTTTCATGTTTTTTTTCTTTTTTTGTAATTGTCCCTCTAACCTTTACCTCTTCAGGCCTCTTAAGTTGAACTGGTCACATGTAACCAGTGACGAGGGGTTGTAAGTAGGGACTGGTTTGTTAGAAGGGATCATGAACTAAACAGTTTTGGAACCACTTCTTTAAACTATAAAATGATAATAATAAAAACTTCATATCTCAATTTTAGCTAGCTCATTGTGACATCTTCACGTTGACTGTTTTTTGTCCAACCAACAGTCCAATACTCAAAATTATTCAGTTTACATTGGTATAAAAAAGCAAAAAGAAGCCATGCCTCATATGTGAGATTCTGGAACAGTGAATGTTTAGTAGTTTTTTTCTCTCTCAAAAATGTTGTTGAAGGCAAATTGTTTCGGCGCTGTTCTGAAATATCTCCCTATTTGAATGCAGGAAACCCTGTTTCATCCGTGCTATTAGTTTTATTTTTGTATTGACAGGATATTATGTCATTATTGCACTGATGGGATGGTGTATTGTTTTTACCATCATACTGGCTTGCAGTGATGGGCGGCTTGGCACTGGCAGAAATAGCATTGCTATTGGCTCTACTGGGGGTACGAGAGCCGGCCTTGCGGGTCCCTGCCTTCTTCTTGAAAACCCTGATGATGATAAACAAAACAACACACACACACAAAAAAGGGGGGTTGTTATAGGACAAAGGACAAATATTGCCTAACATTACAGTTTGCAAAAAAAAGTTTGCTTGGAATTCACACACACAGTCAGAGTTACGTACTTGACAGGGTTTTCACGGTAGGATATGTTTGTCACACTACTCGAATCAGATTCTTCATCTGAATTATAGTAGCCACCAGACACCAGGCGAGAGCTCCTACGAGACATGACTAAAAGACAAAGACAGAAAAACAATGAGACATGATTAATCAATATTTTACGTAGCTTCTTAAATTGCATAATGCCTTTGATCAGTACAGGCTGGCAGGAGGTGGTCAGCTCAGTGCCATATATACACACCAGCCCTCATTTATCAAATGAACGTACAACAGGAAAGTGTGCGCATGCTCATTTCAACGCAAAGATGGGCCATTTGATGTACCGATGCAGCCAGAGGAACCTTTGCCTAGACAGCTGTGGCCAGCAGCCCCAACTTGGTACTGTTGCTATATGAAGGAGACAGGACCTAATACATTGTTTCTATGATGTACAGTATACCGTAACACTTAAAACACAATACTATTGTGGGCCAATGTGATAAACAATTTCAGAAAGTGAAGTCTACTGGAAACACTGTTTTTAATTATGCATTCATGCATTCACATATGGGGCAGAATCAATCTTTCTTTAAAAGTAATGATGCTCAACCCCTATTACATAGTACAAAGAGCATGTTAGTTAGTAGCAGTGGGAGATACCGTAGCTATACTGCTACTAAAAGTCAGTAAGTAACTCAGTAGCAAAAGAAGCACAATTAGTGGAAATGTTGAAGCTGCAGTAACATCAATAGTGGTTACAGTACTACTTAACATTGTGGTAGTAACAGTGCCAGTAACAGCAAGTTACAGATAATAGTCGTATATTAGTTTAAGTAGCAGTGGTAATGGTACCAGATGCAGAAGCAGGAGTATTAGTACCAGTACAGTAAAAGATGCAGTAGCAGTAATAGTAGTGGTACAGTAGCAGTTTATGTAGTAGTGGTAGAGTTGTAATACTAACAGAAAGTCTGACAGATGCTCTCGTGGTTAATCTTGGTAGTCTGTAATCCAACTAATCTACAGGGGCTACCCTGCTGCTCAAACACTAACTGCGACTTGCAGAGCATAAATAAAACACCAAAACAAATGCATATGAACAGTGCACAAGCTTAATGAACAAAGACTGACACTGTCAGACACATTCAGAGTACATACTAGCGTTCAAAACAACAATTGAGAGAGACAAAAACACACATAAATGCAGCATACCTTAACTGACCCACCATGCTTATAGAGAGAAAAGAGCTTGAGAAAGTCTTACAGTTTCACAGCGGCTGATGAAGATGTCGAGAGCAGAGACCTGAATTCAGCTGCACTACACTATGGTCACGTTTGGTAGAAAGTATCCGGCAGTTTAACGTTCAGAAATGCTGCCATCACAATCATTACGTAACAGGCATCTTAGGGTGAGCGATCTGATTGGTTAGTGTGTTGTGTTCTTACAATGTAAACGATTACCATAAACTGCAGCTCACAAGCTTAACTGTTTGCTGTGCCGACTCCTGTGGCAAGCAAACTTTACCCCTTAAAATAATTTGAAGAAAATAGACCATCAGATCTGATAGATATTGCTCTTTTAGTATCATTGTTGTAAGATGCATGTTCTTTATAAATTCACAGAGCATTTGTATAAAGCCTTCTAAGCACTGCTGTCTCTACACTTACAGTAAAGAGTGGCCTCTTATATGTGATTACAAATATTTATACCCATTCTGTCCCCACAAAATGCAGCAGAATATAGAAAAAACCAACAGTTTGCAATATCTGCATTTAACTGTTCCATTTTTACAGTATTTTACTATTTCAAGAATGCTATAAGACAAGGGTCCACATATTTGACACCAAAATCAGCTGTCTTTCCTGCTGAATGCCATCCATCCAAACAAGTTTATTTTTATTTTTTTTAATTACAGACTAGTTACATACAGTAGCTTGTAGCACATCCTAGTGTTGTGGCTATGTAAGGTTGATGCCATGACATTGTAACATCATTGAACACACAGACTCATCATCACAAAGAATGTAACATTTTGACATCTTGGATTTTCTGGCTGACTTCTGATACATTTATGCAACATAAGTTGCAAGACAAATTGGCCATCAAAAGTGAAATGTTGGAAAGTAACCTGATTTTAAAAGATCTAAACTTTAGTCTATCCCCTCTAGTGGCCGTCATTCAGCTCTGTAGCTGTAGTTAGAGTGTCTATTTATTTGAATCCACAGCATAAAAAAAAATCGACTAACCTTTAGAGTTTTTAAATCCAGTCTTGTAACTTTACAGTGTGTAAATCCTACATCTTACGGTGCTTCCTCTCCATTAAAAGAGACTTCTGGTCTAAAAAGAACTAACCTGGTTGATTAGCCTTCTGATATCATTAGCTGGGGACAGGACCACAACAGAGCAGCAACTAACTAATGCTGCTGAAAAGAGCGGCAGAAGATGTCAGAAAGGGAAGCTGTGGCTGTTTGTACCCAACAGACAGAGACAGGAAGTCAGCACACACGCACATAGAAACCTCCACTCCCAAAAAGGGGTGTGAAGGCTCAATTTAGCTAAATTTGATCATCTTGCTCAGTGGAGACTATAACACTCATGCACAACTGAGATATCTTTCCACTAAAGCCTTTCTCAGTACACATGCTCAACATTACTACATAGATTAGTCACATCTTTTTCTTCAATTGCATCATCCTCCACTGGTTCTGTGCATGCTACTGTTGTATACAGAGTGAGTGAGGAGGATTTCCAGTCTTACATAAAAAATTGAGCAGACAGACTGAAAAGAGTAAAGAGGTCGGAACATCACCAAACCGTGTCGATGTTGTCAACAGCCAATAATAGCAACATCACACGTGTTTACGCATAACAGCAGTCCACTGCTGTGGTTGCCACTGACAGCTGACAGGCCTGCTCTGTTCACTGTAAATAATAAGTGCACAACATCATATCGGAACTATTATTTCTGCAGCAGCTGCAAACAATCCATAAGTGAGGTCTTATTTTCCAAAACACTTGGGTAAAAATGTCTTAAACCCTGAAGCTGCATATTACGCCACTTGTCTTAAGAAACATTTTCCCACAGCAAACTCCTTATCAGTTAAACTTTAAAGGACAAAAATGCTGCATTGGTACAGTGATAACAGCAAGAAGCAGCAGCTGTTTTCAGCTGTAAATGCGTGTGTTTATTGTAACTCTCCCTCTCGTGTCTATAAAACCACCAGGCTGTTTATGTAAATGAGGTCTTACATTTTCATTTTGAATATTAGCTGCTGACGCTCATATCCTGAGAGATTTTTCAACAAGGGCGATGGCAGAATTATCATTACGAGCAGCCATTTGATTAAACAAGGATTAAAAAAAGGATATGGCTACTGAACTGTGGAGGATGAGATATTTAACACTGCTCTCAGACACAAACCTCAGTTCTCAAAGATAGACCAAAACGTGTTTTTTTTTTTGTTTTTTTTTTTAATTACAACATGCAGATCTTATCGTGAACACAAAACAAACAAACAGCAACTAGGGTCACAAATATTTAGACTCCACAGTAACAGTTGCTGTAGAGTAACTCTTTTCACACAATTAGCCTTTCTTGCTTCATAGCACGTCAAGAGGCTTTAGCTAAGAGTGTAGAGAAAGGAGCAGTTTGTACGATAATTCCCTCAAATCCCCCTTCCAGTGGCATCTCAGCACAGCCTAGCTCAGCACTTTTCCCCTGCTGAACATACCAACCCCCTCCTTATTAAAGCAGACCAATTCTGCCCTTTTCTCTCCCCCCCCCCCTTCATCTTTGTCTTATTTCACGTCCTCATCCTTGACCAGTTTCTTCACTACAATACTGTAGAAATGTTTGATCTAATCCTACATCCTTCTGTAGCTGTTTCCTCTTTGCATCTAGCTAATCATCATATCCCCTCGCTCAAAACTAAATAATATTCTATGATTGACCATTCATACTCTAAAGCCTTTGTTTGTCCTGGAATGGAAAGACATTATAAAGATTTCAAGAGGTTTTCAATTTCAAGAGCCTTGTTCTTCCAAGGAAGGTCTGTATAGAAAGCATATGCTTGTTTTTTTACCGTGGTCACTCTTGCATTGAACTACTCTGTGTCTGGTCTATGAGACTTTAAGGTCTGTAAAGTCAATAGGCAAATGTCGGTGGGACAGGAACATCCCCTGATAGATAAAGGGAAACCTGTTTCACTTCATGTGCAGAAAGACACAAAAGGTGCTGTTCATTCAGAGTAGAGAGCACAAGCTGCTAAAATTGCATTTAAATCTTGTGACATTACAGCTACACTTGGAGTGATTCTCTTGGGAGAATTAACCAGCCAGTATCATGACACCAGCAGAGACACACATCACATCTGGCAGTAACTTAAGATGAATTTGTCTAAATGAAACTCTTCGTGCAAGGTATTTTCAGTGCTCTGTCCACAGGAAGTGAATTAGAAGCAAATCTCGAGAGTGAAACTGTCTCCCGAACACCAGTGAGCTACCATAGTCCACCCTTTTATTTCTCACATCCCCTTACAGGATTTATAAACAAATGAAATTGAAATTCTTCTGGGCATATGAGTACTGGTTAACGCAATCTGGACCCACTCCGGTGACAACAGCAGTGTAAAACTGTGCTATGTAAAACAAAACACACATGTACAAGCATGTGTGAGCCCAATAAGCCACAGCCAGGAATGTGCACTGGATCTAAATCTGAGGGAGCAGAGGATCGGGATGTAGTGGTGGTGTTTGCTTAGGGCTAGGCTGGGCAGAGCAGGGCAGGGCAGGGCACTGTGACTGGTCCAGTATCCAGACCACTGACACTAGCAGTGCACAGACAAAGAAGAAAAAAAATGACAAGAGCATAGAGGTAATGGGAGAAAAAAAGAGAGAGAAAGAGCTAGAGCAGACAGGGACAAAGGCACTCGGAGGGTGGAGAGAAAGATCAGCAGCACAACAAAGATGACAGGATGAATGGTGGACAAAGGGTTCAAATGACAAAGGGGAATGTGAGAAATTTGAATTGTGTGAGAAATCTGTGTTTGAATTCACAAGGGCGAAAATGTGTAAAACTCTCTTGTGGGTTTAAAAACCAGCAAGGGAGTTCACTCAATGAGTGGAAAAGTGCAGAAAAAAAGGGAGAGAGAAAGCACAGGAATGAAAGGCTATGGAAAGAAAAAAGTAAATACAGTGGGAAGGAGCTGGCAAAGAAAGGAATGCAGAGAATAATAACCCAATCAATCCTAAATGGACTGGCAACTGGTTGAATACTGTGGCTAACTTTAGGACAGTGCCAGTGAATTATGACTCAGGCATACAGAGCTGATGAGTCATCTGTGTGCACTGCTTTAGACAAATTACCCCAAGCTCTTTGTAAAGTAGAAGGGGAAAACACAAGCTACGGTTATTTAGCTAAGCAGCTACATAATAAGGTCTGTGTATATCAATGTGAACCAGATGCTTACTCTCTTCCATGCCGCATACGCTTATTAGGCCTTACAGGAGGACTGGAGTAAGAACAAGCCTGAGATCCTCTACAAATAAGTTCCACTGCTGCAGAGCCTTTGTTGTCTGGGCCTTTCAGCTAAGCATCCCTGCATTACTATCTCAGGCAGGCAAAATAACCTCTATCCGTCCTCAACACACATCTTTATCTTACAGCCTTCTTGACTCTCTTACAATTTTTATTTTATAAATGGTTTACAGTTTGTTACTGCTATATCCTTCTTTTAGTAATATGAATGAGTTAAAAGATATTTTGGGTATTTTTAAAATCTAGTCCCTATTTTCATATATTTAGAAGATTATTTATTATTTAGATTATTTGAAATGAAGGAAGACGACGGTGGAAACGTGAATCAGAGCTGGGGAGAGAAGTCTGTTGTGTTGCAGTAATGTTAGGGAATAAATCTTGCTAGCATCTCCTCTTTGTAGGCAACAAACTCCTTTCCCTCGTTTCCACTGTAGTTTCCTGCAACAACTCGCCTCTCACTATATTTCACAGTGAGAATTGTCCTTGAGCGAGGGGTGTCACCCCCAGTCACTCGTAGGGATACTATCCATTATGTTGGTAGACACCAGTCTGAGCCAGAAGCACTTTTTGTGGATGTACAGACGCAAGGATTCCACAACATTTCGACACCAAAATATGTGAAAATCGAGACGATCAAGTTTAAAAATACAGAAATGATCCTTTCATAAAATAAAACGGATAAAATAGAAATAATAATTTTTACTTTAATATTCTAAAATAGTATCTGCTTACGTGAAGATAATTATAAAGTATGATACAACTCTAATTTTCTTAATTTCTTTCAGATATCATTTTGTGAGAAATTTATTGAGAAAAACTATTTACGTTTTAATCTTTAAATGAGACAAAGAACAGCATATCAAAATATAGTTCAATTGAAAACAACGAACGATGCTGTTACAAACAAACAGAAAATGAAGCACATCAAACCTGTTGAGGGACTAAATGGAAATTATATTTAAGATAAGTTTGATACAACAGTTCAAAAGGTTATGTTTATTGTTTTACATGGGGGGGCTGGAGCCAATCCTAGCTGACATCGGGCTAAATGCTGGGTACACACAGGTCGCCAGTCCATCGCAGGGCCAGACTAAGAAAGCCTAGTCCCAAATTAACTTTTGCTGCTGAATACTACAAACTTGCTGTAAGTTACTGAATATTGGAGGAAGTTACACATCCCTTTTCAAGAGACACCCCCTGCATGCCCTTTGGGATCCCCTTACCCCTACAGCCAATCTAGAGAGAAAATGGGCTTTTATTAGTTTTCCTCTACTTTCAGAAAGTTCAGCAATTACGAAATTAACTGACAGTCCACTCTTGTTGGTCACATGACAGTTGCATATAATACTACAACATACATTAATTTAATTAGTGGATTATATTTTGTAAGATTATTATATTTGCCCCATAAATGTAATGGAGTAAAAGTACAAAGCGAATACAAGTACCTCAAAATTGTACTTATGAACAGTACTTGAGTAAGTGTAACCTTAGTTAACGTTACATCCCACCACTGTTAGCTAACGTTAGCAAGTAAGTTAAACCCTAACGTTACTTAAAATATTTTAACGCTAGTAAATGTGTTTAACGTAGCAGTTATTTTGTCTAACTTGACCCAGCTTTGAAAATAAACAAAAATCCTAACCTAGCTACAGTTAATGCCTGTAGTAATTACTAGTTGAAGCAATTTAACGTGACGTTAACGTTATATGTTTATCAGCCCAATAATGTAATATAACTTTACTGTATAATTTAGCACTGTTAACATGTAACATTAAGCCAATTGTGAAATGTGTAATTTCTTTACGTTATCAGCTAAGTCAACGCTATAACGCTACGCTGTCTAACGGTAACAGTTAATTAGTCCATCACCGCAGCAGGTAATTAATCAACTGACAAAAGCATTCCAAAGACGAAAAATGTTGGTTTAACAGCTAAAGTTACTAAGCGAGTACATCAGACATGAGTTGGGCTACTGTTGAACTCTGTGTCCTAAACTTACCTCGTTATGATGTGAAGTCTGTCGCAGTTGAACAAAAACACCACGCCAACCAACAGCCAGGCGGTTAACGTTAAGTGTCAGATTCTCTGTCAGGAAATGATAATCCTCTCTTCAGCCCGCACGACCACCAAGCTCCGTTTAAAGAAACATCTTCAGCACTCACAGAGTCCCAAAACAGAAACTTAATTATTGATGGATTTCAATGAGTAACGTTAAAGTATGGGGCTGGAAGGCATGATAGTGGGCCGAGTGAGACAGACTGACACTTGATGTGACAGCTTGGAGGTTTCACCACAACAAACGTTGACAGTAGAAGAGTCAAGCTAGCCAGAAGACAAAGATTTCCGGTTAAGTTTTACAAAATAAACTCTGCATCACGATTCCGAGATGCAGTGTTTATAAATTGTGTTGTATCTTTTTCATTAATATTTCATTTGTATTTTAATGTATTATTATTATTATTATTATTATTATATTGCAAATAAACAAAATGGTGGATGGCTATCTCATTCAAATTATAAAAGATGATTTAATAGGGGAAAAAAGACATTTATACCAACAAATAGTGCACAGAAAAAGAGATACCCCCCCTAAATAAAATTATTTATTTATTTATTTTGTACACGACCATAGTGATGATGCTGTACATTTTGAAACTGTTTCCGGTCTCGTTCCACCGGTTCATGGCACCGTGCATCGGGCAATAACAAATCATGGGGCGCCCTCTAGTGGGGATATGTGTGCCCTTCATGAAACGCTTCCCCCTTCAACAGCAATGCAGGCCTACTGACACACGATGGTGCCACCTTGCCGTGAATAACTTCAAGTCCTGAACAGCCAAGCAGGACTGTTACACAATATTAAAGCTTCTTAAGCACCAGTTTATTGTAAAATCATCGTGTAAACGTAAAATCATTATGCTATTTGCTGTGATGTTTGAAACTCAAAACTCTATTATTATTTAAATTACAAAATGATAGCTGAATAAACGAATGCCACATGTAACCCAAACTTTCAATTAAGTCAGAAAATGCTGTTGCCTTGTACAGTGAAGCTAATTAATAAGCCCAAAACATTTTTCTGTGAAATCTTAAAAATGAGGCTGCTCCAAAAGATACTTTGTGGTTTTATTTAGTCCATGTATAAGCAGATGTTTTTATTGATCGAAGAGAGAAACCAGTAGCAGGTAATGCAACCAGTTAAGGTCAAACCTCTCAGAAAGTGAGACCAGGTTATAGAGCCAGATGTAAGGGACCAAACCTCTCCAAAACACAACAAAATGCTTTTAAGGGAAACCCTCAGGGCTTTGGTGCTCTTTGCAGTATTGCAAACAGCCCAAAATAAACCCAATCTGACCTTATCACTGGGCAGACAAGGTCCAGGCAGGGGGAGGGAAGGAGAGAGGAGGATAATTCTTTATTCTAACGCTTCATTTTAAGGGAAAAAAGAGCTCAGAAATGTGGCTGGTATGTCCGGATTGTTCCATATTTGATAAATAATTTCAGAAGGTCTGGAGACTATCTGCAGCACACGCAGAACCCATGAACCCTGAACTTCAGCAGCACAATGTGTGTGTATGTATTGTGCATTAATGTGTGTGTTTGTGCATGTGTATTTACGCCCATTGAACCCATTGTCTCAGAGTCTGTTATCATTATGCAGCAGTTTCCTCCGGCTGGGGTGAGGGAGACACTGAGAAAAAGGAATACACTCAATCATCAGATGCTCAACAATGAAGAGTCTATAAAGTTGACAAGCTCATCACTCCTTAGAGCCCATTCCACTGACTTTCAACAGAATTTTTTTATGCAGTCTTTCATGTCTGGCATTTCCCTCCTCTCTTCACTGCAACACACACATAGACTTCCACCCTGCTTATCTACCAAGCTGGTGCCCCAGACACAGCCACAGAACCAAACAAACAGCTGACGTCATGGGCACACACACACACACACACACACACACACACACAAACACACATAAGCTTTCGCATTTCTGGCCTGAAGTCACTGGGTTGGAATGTGATCAAAAATAGAGTGAGAGTGAAATGTGTTTATGTGGTCTATGTGCTTTTGAGACCAGCAGTGTGACAGAGTGGGTAAAAGAGACACAGAGAAAGAGGGGAAATAGGAACAGATGAGGAGGGTGAGTGAGGGAAATCTTTATACAGACATGGGGGCACACCTATAGACAGTGACACACTGCCCACACTCGTTGACAGACAGACACACAAACACACACAGTCTGAGTCATCAGCAGCCATCTCTTATCAAGGCCTAATAGGCAGCACATAGTAAATCTACCAGTCAGACAATATGCACACACTGTACTGCTGTATAAGCTGCTGTATATACTTACTGTAGAAGTTTGACATTATGCAATGCTGATTATTTACAGACAATAACTTTCATTAGCTTATGACAAATCTCACAAGGCTCTGATATTTTGAAAATTCATTCAGCCATGTGGAACGGATTTCTTTGTGTGATAACCAAATATGTTTAAAGTTTGTGTTTTTGTCATCTATGCTCTTTCTCATCACTTCCCATACATCCCCAAGTGACGATGAATGATAGAGGGGAACTTAAGTTAAGTCTAAAGATATAGTTTCCCTTGATGGCATCGCACTGGCCTCCAGCACCACTGTGAGGAATCTTGGAGTTATCTTTGATCAGGACATGTCGTTAAAGTCTCACATTAAGCAAATTTCAAGGGCCGCCTTTTTTCACCTACATAATATTGCGAAAATCAGGAACATCCTGTCTAAAAATGATGCAGAAAAACTAGTCCATGCATTTGTTACTTCTAGGCTGGATTACTGCAATTCCTTATTATTAGGCTGCTCGAAAAAGTCCGTTAAGACTCTTCAGCTGATCCAGAATGCTGCAGCACGTATTCTGACAGGAACCAGGAAAAGAGATCAAATTTCTCCTGTTTTAGCTTCTCTGCATTGGCTTCCAGTAAAATCCAGAATAGAATTTAAAATCATTCTTCTTACCTACAAAGCTCTTAATGGTCAGGCACCATCTTATCTTAAAGAGCTCATAGTACCTTACTACCCCACCAGAGCACTGCGCTCCCAGAATGCAGGGTTACTTGTGGTTCCTAGAGTCTCCAAAAGTAGACTAGGAGCCAGAGCGTTCAGCTATCAAGCTCCTCTCCTGTGGAACCAGGTTCCAGTTTGGGTTCAGGAGGCAGACACCATCTCCACATTTAAGAGTAGGCTTAAAACTCGACTTCTCCCCTTTCCGGTAGTCTTGTGCTTTCTCGTCTCTCTCCTCTCTCCTCCTATCACTTCCTGCAGGTTTTCTGGCTCTGGAGCTGTGGAGTCTGGATCTGTGGTTGCGAGTCACCTGCTGCCCCTGTGTTCCTGCTCGACACCCTCTGTTACAACTATTGTTACTAGTCCTATTGTTATTATTGTTATTATAATCATTAACATTAAAATTATTATCATAAACATTACTGTATATATCTGTACCATTTTTCATTTAGTCTATAGCAACATCACCTTTACTATCTGTACCTCTGTGTGTATATTGTGTAGGCTGCCTCCCTCCCCTCTCTCTCTCTCCTTCCATCCCTCTCTCTTTCTCTCTGTTCCTCTCTTTCTCTCTCTCTCTCTCTCTCTTTTTCTCCTTCACCCCAACTGGTCGAGGCAGATGGCCGCCCACCCTGAGCCATGGTTCTGCTCGAGGTTTCTGCCTCTTAAAAGGAAGTTTTTCCTTGCCTCTGTCGCCTAGTGCTTACTCTTGGTGGGAATTGTTGGGCTTCTGTAAATAGCATCATAGAGTACGGTCTAGACCTGCTCTTTTATGAAAAGCGCTGTGAGATAACTGTTGTTGTGATTTGGCGCTATATAAATAAAATTGAATTGAACTGAACTGAAAGTTCATACTGTCATACTGTATCATTGTTAAAGTTTGTAGCCAAGTTAGCAGCATCGCTCTAGGAACAGCAATGTTGATCAGTTGATCAGTCCAACACTTTGGTCCAGACAGAAATATCTCAACAACTACTGGATGGATTGCATGACATTTTATACAGACAGTCAAGTTCCCTATAGGGTGAAGTCAACTGACTATGGTGATCCCCTGACTTTTGCTGTAGGCCACCAACAGGTCAAAGATTTTGCTAATTCATAGAAAATATCTCAACATCTCCTTAAATGACTGGCACAAGCAGGTCAAAGTACAGAAATCCATGGTTCCCATACGACTTTATGACCATATGACTCCAAATGACTTTGGTGAGCACCATGAGGGACATACAAAATGCTTTGCAGCAGCAGTGGTACAGTAACAGCAAAGATTTACAGCAGTGTTACAGCAGAGCAGGCAGATCATTAACAGATTATGCATAGCGCTGGATATATATTGCAGCAAATAGAGCATGTTGTGTGAGTGCCCCACTCAAGCTCACTGTCTGCCTGATGTGGCTTGCAGGGTTTGCTTCATTTATTCTAGGTCACATTCACTAAATATTTCATGGCACAAGTCTGGTGAGAAGCTTAAATTTAGATGGTTAAATATGGGATGGAGTCCAGACATTGATGGTAACCACCTGACGAGGGTTTACACGGCAGACAAAATACCTCCCACAGCAATCAATTCAGCTGGCCATGAAGTGTTCTTAAGCAAAAACCTACTGTAGAATTAACGTAGAATTAGAGGGACTTCTAAACACTGGTTGTTAATGTTTTGTCACTTCTTTCAAAATGAAGAGAGACCAACCCTCCCAACACACACACACACAAATACACACACATGCTCATGGTATGATGGTGGTACATGGTATGATAGCAATGTTTTTTCCTGTCTAATACATTGTCTTATGTCTGTGCCACACCCCTTATTTTGTGACCCCTCCTCACAATGATGACTATAGAGTGGGGTTTCCCTAATAGGGGAAATAAAGAAACTTCCGATGAATTGTTGATAAAGTTACCATGTTAGCAACTGGTTGTTTAATTTTGTTTATTTTTTTTCCCCAAAGAATGTCTAAATTTACAGTATTTCATGAGAAATCTGAGGCACATTTCCACTCTCAAATCTGTTTTCCTGCAAGGAAGATGACACAGTATGACCAACAAGCATTTTCACTGACACAGCGTACTTAAGGAAGGGTTCACCTGAATTACAAAAAATACCCCAGTTTGTTTTTACTCACCCCTAGTGACTTTTATACTTTGCTGTGAATTGCTTGGAACTACATTCTACGGAAGAAACAGTCATTATTAAAGTGTTGACAACATGTTGTGTAATGGGGACTCTGTGTCTGGAAAGTACATTTTTAAAAGCTTCCATTCATTA